AGGAGGAGGAGGAGGAGGAGGAGGAGGAGGAGGAAGGGGGGAAGAGGGATAAAATGTGGTTGTTTTTGCTTTGCTTTGAAGTAATCACAGTTTAAGGCATTCCTATCAAATGCTTTCTCTTTTTATCAGTTTATTAGGGTTGATGTAACTTGCAGAGCATTAGTAAACATTCTGGATGGTTTAGGGATAGGCAAATAAACATGGAACCATGGTCTAGTTTTTAACATCATTAGATTTGGGCTTTAAAAACTTCAGTCTGGAAAAAAAAAAAAGTTCAGTCTGGTTAGAGGTATGGCAGAGAGGTAGTAAGATTGGATTTTTGAGCCAGAATTGAGGAAGATGAGTTTTAAAAAAATGGGAAATTTGGGCAAGAAATCATGCCTTAACCAAGGCAACAAGAGGATGGAGAGGAGGCAGTATATTTGAGAGTTATTTAGAAAGGAGAATGGGAGTGGAGCCAACGGAGACCTCAAAGTCAACTCCTCTTTCTAGATACTTGTCAGAGAAGGAAAGAGAGATGGAAAAGTAAACACACAGAAATACAGAGTCCATGGATGTATTTCCCTAAAAAGAGAAACTTATTGGTGGAAGGGAAACAGGAGAAAGGGAGAGTTTAAAGAAGACACAGAGAGAGGATGATTGACATAGGGATGACTGATGGAGTCATCAACACCCCAACAAAGGGGGACAGGAAGAGATTCAGAGGAGAGGAGAGGGATTAGCTTTAAACTAGAGGGAAGGAAGAAAGAAGTCCACAAGCTATTTACAATATTTCAGAAAGCCTTCTGGAAATTGCAATTAAATAAAATGTCAAGTTTCTTTACTTTTGGCAGGCATTAAATCAACTCCGCAGGCTAACACTGGTTATCACACGCTGATCAGAAATTCTAATTTGCTGTTGATGACATCATAGAAATTTCTAGGATGTTATTGGTGGACCATATGCTGTTAGCAGAGTTACTTATCTGGTTTTTACAATATCAGATTTAATTCTTCCAGCATGTGATCAACCTTGGATCAGAAGAGTGACAGCCAAAATTAAGCGACCATTTCCAGGGAACAGTGCCTAGTGTTTGTACACTTATTTAACTTTATTGCTTATTAGCATTACATCCATGACAGTGATGTATGTGATTTCATTTAAGTGACAAAATCTTTCAAGATATGGGGTCCATGGATGAAAACATAATAAAAAGAGTCCTTGGATGAAAAGAATTGGGATGACAATTCTCAATAGTCCCTTCAAACCTAACATTCTATAATTTTAAGAGGGGCTCATAAACACGAGTTCAGGAATGGCTAAATGGGAAAGTTGTAAAGAATACTTGAAAACACCCCAACTAACCAATGACTCACTTTTACAAGGCAAGTAGATAGGGAAACAGTAAATAACCATTCCCATCTGGGGGCAGCACAGGAGAGACCAAAAAAAAAAAAGTTGGGTGAGGGTAACAAGAGCTTAACAAAAGCAAAGGTATGCTTGCTTTATTGATAACCACAAAAACATTAACCATCTTTAGGAACAGGAATGATTAGTATGAACACACTTTTTAATGTTTGGCGTATCCACCTACTAACCTCACGTAAATACAAATGAAGACTGAGGATGTTTTCTCCCCGACACCTGCACTAACCTAGGTTCCTTCCGTACCTTGTACTCTGTACTTCAGTGTGCCTTTGCCCACTGGAACTGGGCAAACTGAGGAATTTTTTTAAGTGTCAAAAGAAATGGACCAAGAAAGTGAGTTTAAGAGTTGAAACTGGTCTTACCCGTGGGTTGAGTGCTAGGGCTATCAGCGGTTTCGACATCTGGCAAGCACCTAGGATCAGCCAGACTGACCAGCTAGCTTGACCATAAGCCCCTGGGACGTCGCATCCAGCTGCGCAGGTTCAGGGGGGTAGAAAGCTCAGGAAAGGGTGCGTTGCGGAAGGAAGAAGTGGAATAATGTGTACTTTTCTTCCGTAACTGTAGTTCTGTTGCCCCAACCTGGACTCAGGTGGTGGCCAGTACGACAGGAGAAAGCCCCAGAGCTCGCTTTCGGGCTAGGTCGGACCCCTCGTTCCCTCTCCCCACATCCCCATGTCCCTGACGCTGCCGCCGCCCGCTGGCGCCCATGACCCGGTGACCCCAGAGGGCCATCAGGAGCCCGTGACCCCGGAGCACTGGGCATCCGGACCCCCCTCGCAGGCGCAGCCGCTATTAAGGCAGGAGGCTAAAGGGGAGGAGGAGGAAGGGGAGGAGACAGGCGTCCAGGGCGCCTGGGGAACCGCCACCGCCGAGCCGGGGTGGCGAGTCTGGGGGAAAGCCGCTGAGGCGGCCGCGGCCGAGGAGGGCCAGGTGGAGGCCCGGGGCGCCGCGGCGGCGGGGTCAGGCTCCCCGGCGGGAGGCGCGGGTGGCGGCCGCGGGAGCTGGCGGCGGCTCCTAGCCTGGCTGCGGCGGCCGCCCCAGTGCTGCCCCTGTGCGGCGCCCCTTCCTCGCTCCGCCGCGCACTGTTGTCATGGAGGAACCAAGATGGCGGCTCTGGCCTACAACCTGGGCAAGCGGGAGATCAACCACTACTTCAGCGTGAGGAGCGCCAAGGTGCTGGCGCTGGTGGCCGTGCTGCTCCTCGCAGCGTGCCACCTCGCCTCCCGCCGCTACCGAGGTGAGCGGGCCCTCCCCCTGCCCGGGCCGGCCGGGGGAGGAGGCGACGCGGCGGCTGGAGGCCGCCCCCCTCGCCCAACACACGCCCACGCTCACGCGTTCGCCCGCCCGCCCGCGCGCCGGGCCGGCGGGGGAGGCGGTGGCCCCACGTGCCCCCAGGTGGCCCGGGCGGCGGGCCGGGCGCCCGAGGCCTAGCGAGCGGACTCCAGTGAGGGCCGCCCCTGGACTTGGGCCCGTGGTCCTGGCGCCCCCCCC